CCTAAGGTGACGTAGCAATGAATGGAGAACGTTTACTTGGAAGATGTACAGGAGTTTTAATTGCTACACTTCAGAAGCGGAATGCCAGAAACCTACCTTTATTTTTAGAGTATTTTTCTGTTTTGCCAGGCACAGTGGCACGCATCTGTACTCTCAGCTATTTGGGAGGCTGAGGTGAGAGGATCGGAATTCAAGACCAGCCTGGGCAACATATCGAGAATCCATCTCTAAAAAAATTAAAATAAGAGAATATTTGTTTGCAAGCAAGCAATGGGCTCACTGTCTGACTCACATAGAAGCCAATACCATGGTGCCAGCTTCTGAGAAAAGAAAGTCTTTATTACAAGTCAACTGGCAAGGAGTCCAAGGAGGCAGTGCTCAAATCTGTCTCCCCGAACTGGGGGCTGGGGTAGGTTTTATAGGTATGAGGCATGATCTGATTGGACCTTGCAATAGAGTTATACCAGGAGGTGTGATCCAACTGGATCATGTTGTGGGTGTCCACTTCTTAATTTAGTCCCTATTTCTTTTTTTTTTTTTTTTTTGAGACAGAGTCGCACTCTGTTGCCCTGGCTAGAGTGAGTGCCGTGGCGTCAGCCTAGCTCACAGCAACCTCAAACTCCTGGGTTCAAGCGATCCTTCTGCCTCAGCCTCCCAGGTAGCTGGGACTACAGGCACACGCCACCATGCCCGACTAATTTTTTTTTTCTATATATTTTTAGCTATCCAGTTAATTTCTTTCTATTTTTGGTAGAGATGGGGTCTCGCTCTTGCTCAGATTGGTCTCGAATTCCTGAACTCAAACAATCTACCCGTCTCGGCCTCCCAGAGTGCTAGGATTTACAGGCGTGAGCCACTGCGCCCAGCCTAGTCCCCATTTCTTGAAGCAGTTAGGTTCCACCTGTGGTTGCATGCTTGGTTCATCTGGGCATGCTCGGTTAGATGACTTGCAACGGGGGTCCATGGCAACTGAAAAACAACTCACCATTTTATTACACAAAGTTGAACAAGACTGGGCTGGTTTTGTGGTTACATATTTTTCTGTTTTATCTAGGAGTTCGGGGTTGAGGAGAGCATTATTCCTCAAGTATGTGGCTGCAGACTCCAGCCAGCCAGGTTAAACATTTTGAGGTATATTTTACAGTAAAGTGCACAAATTTTAACAATGCAGCTCAATTAATTTTCACCTATGTATGACCACCATTTTGGTTAAGATTTAGGACATTTACTGTGGCACAAAAGACTCCCTTGTTCCCTCCCAGTCTATATCCCCCAAGGGTAACCATCATTCTGACCTTCCTGCCATAAATTAGTTTTCTTAAACTTTATGTAAATGTAGGTGTGCACTATGTACTCTTGGTCACTTTCTTTCACCATGATGTCTGGTACTCTGCCATGTGTGGTCACGGTAATATACAGTAGTGTTCTCTTTAAAGATTGCTCTTGTTTCACTAGGAATTTAAGATTAACCCAAAGAAAAGGATGCAGGTTTCATTTTCATGGCAAAACGATCACAACCTAGTGCCATTTATAGTCAGGAATATTTAGGGATGATAAGATAGAGGTTTGCTTGTTGAAGAAGTGGTGTAAACCTCCTACAATCTGTTTGGTTTGGTTACTCTAGGTGTTTTTTTTTTTTTTTTTTGTATTTTAAGATAAAACTGCATTTGAATTATTTGGTCCTTTCTAAACAATCTCTATTAGTGTAAAGGGGATACCTACTTAGTCATGCCCTGCCCCAGATCCTGGATGGCTGGCCAGTTTACACAGAGGAACACCAAGCTGGGAACTTGGGCATGTTTACTAGACCAGGCTCTGTGGCTTACAACCTCAGGGCCCCCGGCTGGTGAACCCTGTGTTGTATGGTTACCCCTGAACTCTGAGGGACCTATGGTTCTGGGACCATGAGACCATTCTTTGAGGGAATCAAGGTGATGCCTCTTTTAAACAATTTTAAGTTATTGGGGTGTTTTTGTTTTTTTGTTTTTTACCCCAGGGGGCATTTCCCTAGATATTGTAACTGGCCCCATTCAACAAATTTCAATGACCCCTATATAATCCTCTGCCTTAACTACTTGAACTTTTAAGTTGTTTCCCAGAAATAGTGGATTTTCTGCAAGACAAAGAAGCTGAGATTCTGAAGGCCGCTGGGCAGACTTCCTCATGCAAGACTCACCATCCCCCAAACTAGCCCCTGTTAGTTACACCACGACCATCCCCCAAACTAGCCCCTGTTAGTTACACCACGACCTGCCCCAGGGCACATAGCCCCTCCTTTAAAAGCCCATGATCTCCCTTAGTCGAAGAGACCAATTTGAGGCAGCTTCTCCCATTCTTCCGTTCTCTGGGCAAGATGTCTTTTGTATGAAAATTTCTTCCTTGACAATCTTTATCTCAATAATTGGATCCTTGTGCAATGAGCAACTGGACCTAAACCAAACCCTCTTGTGGTTTTGACAATATAAGCAGAAAGCTGTTATGTCTTTTGTTCTAGCAGAGTGTATGATATTCATGTAACAGGCCCGTCATTGGAGGGGATAGTCTTCCCAGTCTCAGACCCAGTACACACCTCGTTTTTCCAAAATGAACAGTGCTTTGGATGTGTTGCATTTTGGATACAGCATTTTCTGGAAGCTTACGTCCCTCTCAGATGGTAGACTGGGGAGAGTAGCCAATAGCGCCTAGCACTCTAGCACCCTGGTAGAAAAGATAGTGCCTGGCACCCTGGTGTCTCAGCAGCAGATGCCAGAGCCGCTCAGACACACATGACACAGCTCAGGGCCTAGAATTTGTGGAAGAAAGAAGGCTCCAGCATGTGGGACATTTTAAGCCAGAGACCTGTAGGCTTTGGTGTATGGAAGAGGCTTGAGGCAGGTGTCAGGTGGTCAGAGAGTTATTCTCAGTCCTGGACAGAACCTTCCTTGTGGGAATTACCAAGTATTTGCTTTCCATCCCTGGCCCCCAGTTTGGAATTTAGATAATTATCTAGGTAGAGGGAAAAGCTGCCTGCTGGTGACTGAGTGGTCACTGCTCTTCACAATGTAGAGGGAATCTCCATGTTTCTGTCTCACCCGGGGGAGACCAATGAGACCCACCACCCATTTTGTGTGAACACAGCTCTTTGGGGGAAAAGCTCTTCTATCAGAGCCTACTGCAGAGGCCATGAGGGAGTGAGCCCCCAGGTCCTGCTACCTGGGCAGCTGAAAGGCCCCTGCATGGACAGGAGGTTATGTTTTAATGGCCATCTCAGATGCGAATGAGCCAGTTTCGGAAAAGTGTTTATCTTGGAAATTTGGCATGCGAGTGAGGCACGGGCACCACAGGCACCGTGGGTGTGGCGCACAACTCTGGAGCAGCTCTAGACATCCTGCTGGGCTGGGTGGGAGCTCTGTGGGAGAGGTCGGAGGCCCCTGGATGCTTCTGATTTGGGGGTATAGCCTCTCTTTTTGAGGAAGCTGGTTCTGGAAAATTTAGCTTCAATAAAAGTAATATTAATAATACGAACAGCAAGTAGAAATCTGGGGCCAAAGGAAGATGCCCCTTCCCTTCACAGGTGGGCAGGAGTGAAGAAGGCCCCAGGCTGGTAGGTGGCTTTAAAGCTCGAATATCTCGGGACCCTCCTCTGTGAAAGAAGCTAGCCCACATTACCTTGCCCCATCTCAGGTCAGAGTTCAGGATTTGTGCCCTAACAGGCAAGAAGGAGTAGGAATATGTACTGACCTTGTTGAAATTAAGGTGAAATGGGAAA